GCAAAAATTAAACATCTATTTTATACTGCTTTCATACACTGCAATTGCATTATACAACTGCATGCATTCATCTTGTGTATTGTACAACTATTATTTTGTGAGTGTATTTGTCAATATGTCTACTGTACAAAAATTTGAAGTCCAAACTTGGAATGTCATTGGAGATTTTAGCCTTTGACATCAGAAAATGAGAGCATTATTATTGCAACAGAGGTGTGCTGGGGCTTTTGATGGCACCTGGGCTGCTGAAATTAGTGCCTATAGAAGGCAAGAACTTGATGAAATAGCTTGGAGTACTATATTCCTTCACCTCTCTGATAGTGTAATTAGATTGGTTGGGAAACCACTGATACTCAGGCTATATGGACTAAATTGGAATCTTTGTTCTTAACTAAGACTATACCTAATAAATGCTATCTGCTTAGGCACTTTTATAACTTCAAATTTGATAATACATTGAATCTAGAAGAAAATATTGACAGATATACTAAACTAATCCAAGATTTAGACAATTGTAATGAGAAAATTCTAGATGATCAGTAGGCTGTTGGCCTGTTAAATTCACTTAGTGAAAGATACAAAGATATTAGAAATGCTTTAGAATATGGGAAGGAAAACCTTACTGTTGATATTATCACAGTTGCCCTAAGAAATAAGGAACTTGAACTAAAGTCAGAGTTCAAAGATACAAAAATTGGTGAGGGTCTCCACATGAAAGAGAAACAAATCCAAAATAAGAAGAATGTATGTAATTACACTTCCTCTAATAAGGGCAGATTTCAGAAACCAAAATATAAGGACAAAAATAAAGGTCAGAATAAAACCAAGTCAGGAAATGTTACTATTGTGGAAAGTCAGGACATCTAATCAATGACTGCTTTAAGAAAATTTCTGATTCAAAAGCAAGAAATAGCCCTGATGATACTGCAGCTCTAGCCTACAATAATGAACTTGACATTCAGGGTGTTGTTCTTGCCAACATACAAAAAAGAGACCCAAATGAATGGGTCCTTGATTTTGGATGCACTTTCCACATGTGTCCTGTTAAGGAATGGTTTGTTGAATTTGTTGAACTCAATTGAGGTCAAATTCAGATAGGGAATGACATGAGTTGTCAGATTAAAGGCATTGGAAAGTTGAAACTCAAGTTAACCAATAACTATTTACTTGAGTTAAATAATATCCTATATGTACCTGATTTGAAAAGAAATCTAATATCCCTTGGGGAGTTAGATGACAAATACCACATTGTGATTCATAAAGGGCTTATAAGTATAAATGATGACAATGAGGAAGTCATCACCTCTCATAAGACACATGGGATTTACACTATCTTTGGTGAACCTCTTGTAGGTTCCACCTCCACAGCTATAAATCCTAAAACAAATCAGTCTCTAATCTAGCATAAAAGACTTGGCCACATTTCAGAAAAAAGTCTTCTTCTCTTAAATAAACTTGGCTGTGTTGGAAAGGATAACATTGAAAAGTTAGATTTTTGTGAAGACTGTATTTTTGGAAAACACCAAAAATAATCTTTCAAACATGGAATTCATAAAACATCATGCATTTTAGAATATTTACATGCTGATCTCTGGGGACTAGCCTTTGTAAATATACTGAGTGGCTTTAGATTTTATCTACTAATAGTAGATGATTTTTCAAGAAAACACATGGACTTTCTTGTTGAAACAAAAATCTGAAACTTTTCAAATCTTTAAACAATGGAAGTTGATTATTGAAAATCAAACTAATAGGAAAATTAAAGCACTTAGAACTGACAATGGACTTGAATTTTGTAGTACTGAATTTGAATTTTTTGTAAAGAAAGTGGTATATTGAGGCACAGAACTGTGACATACACCCCGCAACAGAATGGTATTGCTAAAAGAATGAATAGAACCCTATTAGAAAAGGTCAGGTGTATGTTACATAGTTCTGGCTTACCAAAATTTTTTTGGGGGGAATCCCTCAAAACTGCAACCTATCTTATAAATAGAAGTCCATCAAGTGCTATTAACCTTCAAATACTTGAAAAATTGTGGTCAATAACTATACCAAATTACAAAAAATTAAGAGTTTTTGGCTGTGCAGCCTATGCTCATCAAAATGAAGGAAAATTGGAACCTAGATCACAAAAATGTGTCTTTCTTGGTTATGGAGAGGAAACCAAAGGATATAGACTTTGGGTTAAGGAACAGAATGGTTTTAAAGTCATTATAAGTAGAAATGTTATATTCAATGAAAAGGATATGCCATGCTTGAATTCATCTTGACCAAAATCAAATGAATCCACAATCATAAAAGAAACTGTTCTGAAAAATCAAATTGAAAGCCCTATTGATTAGATTGAGGTGGAGACCACTCAATCTGAAGCTGAAAGTGATCAGCTTGAACCTGTATTTGAATCTGAAAATACATCCCTTACTGATTATCAACTAACAAGAGATAGAGAGAGGAGATATAGAATACCCTCTACCAGATTTAATACTGATGAATTTGTCACCTTATTTTCTGGTCTGGATTCTTTGAATTTAGAACCAAACACTTATGAAAAAGCTATTAGTTGTCCTGACTCAAAGTTCTGGAAGGAAGTTATGGATAATGAAATGAATTCCCTGATAAAAAATGACACTTGGGTGTTAGTGAATAGACCAAAAGACAAAAGGATAGTTGATTGTAAGTGGATCTTCAAAATAAAACAAGGAGACTCTAACTCAGAAAATAAAAGGTATAAAGTTAGATTAGTAGCAAAAGGCTTTACCCAAAAGGATGGTGTAGATTAAAATGAAAAATTTTCACCAGTTGCTAAGTACACCTCAATTAGAATTCTTCTTGCATTAACTGCACATTTCAACTGGGAATTAGAACAATTGGATGTCAAGATAGCTTTCTTTAATGGTGAACTTGATGAAGAAATATACATTAATCAGCCAAAGGGATATCAGGTAAAATAAAAGACCCAACAGGTTTGTCTTCTGAAAAAATCACTTTATGGGCTTAAGCAAGCTCCCAGGTAGTGGTATATAAAATTTTACTCTTATGTGAAAACTTGGGGTTTATGAAAAGTAATTATGATTCCTGTTTTTTTCTTTAAGGGCTCTGGTAGTGCTGAATCCATTTATCTGTTGTTATATGTCGATGACATGTTACTTGCATGCCATGATAAATCTGAAATAGAATCTGTTAAGTTTAAACTGAAATCAGAATTTGAAATGAAAGATTTAGGAAAGGCTAAAAGAATCCTAGGAATGGATATAGAAAGGGACAGAAATAATTACATGATGTGTTTAAAACAATGAAACTATGTGAAGAAAATTTTAGATAAGTTTTCTATGGTTGAATGTTAATCTGTGTCCCTGCCTCTTGCAAATCATTTCAAATTATCATGTGATCAGTCACCCAAAACTGAAGATGAAATTGATAGAATGAAAAATGTTCCATATGCTAGTGCAATAGGATCCATAATGTATCTTATGGTATGCACTAGACCAGACTTAGCTCATGGAATAAGTATTTTGAATAAATTCATGCCAAACCCAGGTGAAATCTATTGGTTAGCAGTTAAATGGATGCTTAGATATCTAAAAGGATCATGCCATTTAGGAATAAATTTTAAAAGATGCAATGAAGGTATAATTTTGAAGGGTTATTGTGATTCAGACTTTGCTGGAGACTTAGACAAAAGAAGATCTACTTTCTCCTATGTTTTTACTCTGTGTGATAGTTGTATCAGTTGGAAATCACAACTGCAAAAATTAGTTGCATTATCTTCAATGGAGGCAGAATATATTGCTGCATGTGATGCTGTTAAAGAATGTATTTGGTTAAGAGGATTATTAAATGAAATTGGTTTTCAAAATGATTCTGTAGGAATATTTACTGATAACCAAAGTGCTATACATTTGAGTAGAAATTCAGTATATCATGATAGAACAAAGCATGTTGACATAATATTTCACTTTGTGAGGAACATGGTTGAAAAAGGTATGATTTATTTAGTCAAGATCCCTACAGAATATAATCCCTCTAATATAGGCACCAAGATTCTTCCCTTAAACAAGTTCAAAAATTGCTTAATGATTCTGAATATCACATAAGATTAACAATTAGTGATAAATTAGAATCTTAAGCCATGTATAGAATTCAAACTAATTTCTAATTTTTGTTTTTACAGGTTATGGGAGCAAATGAAGCTAGTGCGATCTCTAGATCCATTAATTGAAACAAGAAATAGCTCAACAAGGTGGAGTTTGTTATAAATTTGGGCTGCCTTGCTATTTCTAAAAGACTGGGCCTCTTTAACTGGTTTAGTACCCGACCCATTTATCAAAAACGTTCTTTTGTGTATAACATTTTCTGCCTCTCTCAATGGAAGCTTTCTGTCGTACACGTGGCTTCTTGGCAGCCCTTTGATCTGTGACCATTAGTCTTGAGTATTTAAGTTTGGGCTCTTCATTTTCGACAAATAATTAGTTTTTCTCTTTCGATTGTTCTATCTGTGTGTATGAACTAGGGTTTTCAGAAAAATGGTAACCTTCATCTTCGTGATGATTTCTCTATAGTTGAGTGTTGAGAGTTGTTTAGAAAATCTTTGTGTAAGATTTGTTGTTACCATATTTTAAATAGAGAGGCTAGAGAGACCTTGAAGAAATATGTAATTTCTTCATACATTTGTACGATTTCTTGGAGATTTAGTGGATCTAGAGCTTAATCGTTTAGTTGATACTCAACGGGTGAGTAGGTCTTTGTGACTGAACATCCGGACCCTTTAAGGGTGAAAAATACTCTGTGTCCTTGTTCCTTTTTCGAAATCTTGTTTTTTATTTCTCAAAATCGAGCAAACACTTTGTTAAAAATACCAACAAGAAAGGTGAAATGTAGGGGCAAAAATGCCAAAAAAATGAAAGATGGGGACGTTTTCCACAATAGACATGAAAGGTATGGACATTTTGTGCCAATTACCCTTACGAATGTATTGACCTTGTCTAACTTCTCGCATCTAAGCTAATAGATATTGTTGAACAATTAGATGAGGCTTAAATAATTAGAGTACATGTCAAATTCATTTTTTTATCACTCCTTTATAAATATATTATATCACTCCTGAAATTTCAAAAAACTAAGATATGAAAACATAAAATTTAAAAAGAGGAATTGAGAGACCAATCAAATTTTTGATACGCTATATTAATTGGGCCACCATCATTCATAAGGTGTGTCAAAAGACCTGCCTTGGTTGCATCCAAGTAACTTATGATCCACTTAGGAATTTCTTTTTCTTGCCCAAAATCAGCACTGAACCTGCATTACAAAAGATCCATAAAAGCAAAGTTAATGAAGAGCTACTACATCAAGCCCCCATTTGACCCACATTATTGTATAAGTGAGAATGAAAAATATAGTCGTTATAGGTCCCACACAAGAGATAAAAAGTCAAATATGATGACTTGATTTGATGAATAACGATCATATTTTTCACTTTAATGAGGAAATAATATGGCTCAAACAGATTCTGCATTTTGTGAAACCATGAAATTCATCATAATCAATGAAATCTTGATTTCAAAGACAAATAGAAAATTTCCTCCACTAATGACTCACCACTTGATAACGCGAGAGAGGTACACGGTCCTCTTGGCAAGATCTACGTGCATTCCGTCATCCCTTTGGAAAAACTCCCTTGCAGCATATCTTAATTCTGATGCTACTCCCTGAGCAGTGAAGAATTTCACCATGGGGCTCGACCTTGTCGCATTGTAGAGCCCAAAGTGAATTAGTAGATTCACTTTTGGAAACACCAACTGACAAGGAATAAAAAATGAGCAAGTTCAGCTTCAGTTTCATGTTCAAGTCCAGAGATCAAAGGAATGTGTTGAATCCAGGTCTAATTACACAGTGTCAGTTTAATGCTGCAGAAGATTCGCTTATCAAAGAGAACGGAAACAACTGAAGTTAAGAGTAATGCAATTTGGCAGCTTGTTATTTAAGACATTAATTTTTTGTAATTCTGATGTCTCAAATAAAGAACTAACGCCTCAAATAAGAAGTTGTCACACATGATGATTACTGTAGTCACTGACTGTGAATATCATTACTCTTGTAGTTAATTACCTCTAGACGCTTATCTCCACCACTAAAAGGCTTTGTTAATGAGAAAGGTGCTCTTTTATTGCTTCTAAGAATCCCATTTCTTATTGAGCTCATGGAATAGGGGTAGCCCCCAACCACATACATGAAATCATCAAAGAAAGCCCTCCCATCGATCATGCCTCCAGGATTGCCAATTCTAATGACGGCATGAATAGCCATGGCATTATGCAGGTTTAAGAAGAAAGCCAACTTCTCGTCCGTTGAAAGTGTCGATACATTCACTCTCTGGAGATCCTGCACTAAATTTATGTACCTGTACTCATAAAGAAAGGAATTATGAAGTTAGAAAACAACACTTGCATTTATAATCATTCGGTGAAGGAAAAATGTTATCGCTAACTTGTAATCTGTTTCTATTCAACTTGATAAAATATCCATATTACCTCCGTAATTCTTCACTATTTCTGATGCCGACGAAATCAAGATGGCGTCTGTCATCAGAGGCATAGGACTCGAGTATGGCGGACATTATTCGGGCAAGCCTCTGACTTACAGTAGCAGCATTCTTGGGTTCACTGTCATTTACTGATCCTCTGAAATTATAACATTTAGGAATGAAAGGCTCGTGCTCTAGGAATCGATAGGTGTGATTTCCATCCGCAAATTCATTTTCACTGCATTGCACACATCATATCCATAAGATCGAAGTAGGTTGAAAGCTATAAGTTCCCACTATCTTGTTCTTACCCAAAAACATGATGAATGAAATGCTTTCTTGCCAGCTGCTTCCCAATCTCAATGGCCTATATACGTTGTGAAACAAAAGACACTGTCATTAATGGTGAAGAATTGTAGATAAAACATAAAAGTTGCATTTTTGGCTTAACCATCAATTTTTTACTACTTTAGACTATGTTTGGCTCATTTTTATAAACAGTTTATAAACACTCATGTGATCTCATCATGAATGTATACGTTCATATAATGAGAGACAAAAGAGTTGCAGAAAAATAGAACCAAAAAGAAGAAGCAATCTAACTTGTCAACTAAAAAGTAAGAAAAAGGGAGATTGAACAAAGTAAAAGTACAAATAGAAATTTCACTTCTGCAGTAGCAAACGTGTGCCGCGGAAAGTATTACTTAACAAGTAACTTTTATGCTTATACAAACATGTTGGCCTCGCTTTATTTTTCTTTTAACAAATGTGTGCTACAGCAAGAGTTAATTGACAAGTAATTTTTACGCCTAGCCAAACATGACCCTCTCCCAAGATGGGTTTGTCTCGATCCCTAAGGTTATAGTTATTTGGCATGTCAAATAAAGATAACTAATGTACACGATACATGATATAATTGCTAAGTCAAATTAAACACAAAGGAATATAGTTTAATATATAGATACAAGTGAATAGCCATGTTTAATTTTTCAACAAATTAAACACATAAAATAAGAGAGAATCTTCAGTAGGGCGATCGCACCTACTATCAGGGTGCACAATCTCGACAGGTGATCCATCACAAACCCTCGAGCCATCACCAAGGTTGCACTTTGAGATTGGGCGGGCGCACCATATGAATGGGGGGCCTTGCCACTGAAGATTCTTCCATAAAATAATTGTTTAGAGTACTCTTAATTGTTTATGATTGATTAGGACAATTGGGACCGAAGGTACAATTTTGAATCGATTTATCCGCCGCAAGTGACGGTAGTTTGGACTTTGGACGGCTTTGTTTTTCTTGAATAAAATTAAATACATTTTGACACGACAATTGTGGGAGCAGTCATGACTCAACAAACTTTTCTAAACCAAAACTGACGTCATCTTTTGAGCCCAAATATTGTCCTCAAATTGAACTATTCAATTTTTGACTATATGCTCCATTTGAAGGATCATCTTGACACTAAACTTCAAAAAATCAACCATTTTTTGTGTTTGCTTCTATTTTTCTTCTTATCCCATCAAATTTACTTTTAAAATTATTTTTTACAAGAGCAGAATTTAATTTTCTAGCGACTTTAACTTTTAAACACTAAAATAAAGAGTCTCTTGTAAATGCTCTAAACACGATATATAAAAGAAGAAGAAAGAGGAGAAAATGAAAACATGAAAAGAAGGAAAAATACAATTTACTTCATTACTCGTGCATAGTAAACAAAATATTTCAGTGTTGATAAAGAGGAAGAGAAGGCAGCCATCATATACCAGCATGTGGTTATAATTATTAATGTTGGTTTAGTTCCTAATATAGAAATTGGTTTCCTATTCGCTACACACTTGTTGATGTGACAGGAGAACTTTATTTACGATTCTCTTTAAATGTGAGAAATTTAAATAAGATTCTCCTTAAAGAGGGCAAAATAAAACTTCCCACTGTGTGTATACGATAAAATGTATATCTAATCATTTTATTGCCATGTTATTCAAAATTCAGTGTTCATGCAATTAATTACTAGTAACCAGAGAAATGAAATCATTAGAAGACACCAAATGCAAAAAAATTCATTGGTCATACAACAATATTAAAATATGTAATTACCAATTAATTATTTTTAAATTAGTTAACCAATAAATCTGATTTGGTCAGCGCCTCCCAACTTTCTAGATTTCCAAATAACAGAACTCTATCCAATCCCATATTTTAATATTAATTAAAACAAAAAAGATATAGGTACTTGCTAGTCCACACATCATGCTGCCGCAAGACGCGTTTATTTTAACTGAATATTAATATTAATGGTCCCAAACTGTTAATTATGTCAAAGCATCAGCTTTCCTACTGGCTTATTAAATAAAGTGCGTGTTTGATTGCAAATATAAAATTTACATGGAAAGAAAATAAATTCATTCTAATTAATTGAATTGTCTAGAAATAATTTGTTTGAAAGTTATTAATTAAATGTGTTAAATTGATTTTATTTTGGTAGGTAGATGGGGGAGAGAGAGGGAGAGCAGATGAGAGAGAAAGAGAGAGAGAGAATTACCTAAAAAATAAAAATGTACTTCCTCTAAAAAAAATATTTTCCTTATTTTCAAAGAAAATGTGATCATGTAACTAAAAGTAGGAAAATATTTTTTTATAGAAAAAATCAATCAAATAGCACAAAATTAAAAATGTGGATGAAAAATAATATTTTTTTTTTATGAAAAATATTGATAATCAAACACACTCTAAATAATATGAACAATTAGAACAAGTAAAAATGTCCAACCCCAAATGTCTCATGAATATTTAACACCAAATCAGTTTAATTGATATTAAATGATACAAAATAAGATGTACAATTAAATGTGTAACTAATTGAATACTACTTTTAATTGATCCTATCATATAATACTACTTAAATTGGTGTTTTAGCACGGTAGTGATGGATAACATTATTTTGCATAGTGATATGTTCAATTAAATGTGAAATTATGTGATTCATTTAATTAAACTTTTCATTCAGCCTATGTTTGATCCTTTTTTTTTTATTTGAAAAACTCATTATTTAGAATTCATTTTTATCCACATAAAATGATTTCGACACTTGACAACAGCATCGAGTAAACTTCTAAGGAAAAAGATAGGAGTACAGGGGCGTGTGAAGCAGGCCCCTGCCAAGTGAGAGAGGAGGTGGGAGCAAGCCCCATCCTTTTTTTTAAATGCTTGTGGGGACCGACCCCTACAATGAGAGGCCTAGCGGTCCCCTATGAATTGAGCTCTTGTATGTGAAGTTCGGTCCAACTTCTAAACATCTTGAACATTATCATTGTACCGGTATTTACTTGACATGTAAAAAAATAAATTAAAAAAAAAAATGAAAACGGAGGGAAATAGAGAGGCGTACCTTCTTCCTGCCGCAGTCCAAGTGGTGTGTTAGAACCTCCACAAGATCAGCTCCGTTGAAGCAATTCTTGATAATCTTCATCTTCATCAGACGGTCCTGAATGGGCAGCCTCTGCCGCAAAACCTTAACGATCGCCACCATCTCATCTAAACTCTCCTCCTCCTCCTCCGGATCATCGAAGCCGTAGACGGGCGGCGCCGGCGCATCATCAGGACATTTACTTCCCAGAATCTCCTCCATTTTCTTCTCCAACATCCCACCATTCCTCAAAGAATTTAATACAACCAATCCTCCGATCAGCTTTTCGTTGAAAAATATCTGTGGCACTGTTCCACTGCCTGTCCTTTCGATTAACTCCTTTTCTCTCGTGGGATACACGTCGATATTGATCTCCGCAAAATTCAGATTCTTTTCGCGCAAAAATGATCTGACTGCAGTACAGTCCCTGCAATTCGATCGCGAGAAAAAGCTAATTCTTCCTTTCAGCTCTACCTTGCCTAATTCTTTCTGTGATTTGATCACTTTCAGTCCTACAAGATTGAATTCCATAACTTGTGACGCGGGCTTCACTACAGCCTCGTCGTCTCCATCGTTGTTTCTTACTTCTCTCAACGACGACCACCGCCTGGTTATGGCGGCGGAAAAGCTATTTCTCTTGTCGCGAATAAATTTCCCGATCGCCAGCATATCAATATCATCCGGCGCTGAAACTGACCTTTCCATCTTCGGCGATAGATTAATCCCCAGCGGCGCTTCTGGCTTGGGCAGCTGCGAATGGGGCAGTTGGATCATTTCTTGTACGGCTCCATTTGCTTTTTCTGAATTGATTATCATCTGGGCATTGACTTCCATCTCCTGTTCTCCATTAGAATCGGAATTCCCGTATCTTTCTGAATCCGTTTTTCCATTTCCATCAAGATTCTCCTCATTCTCGGGGAAGATAATTTCTTCCCCTTCTTCTGCAATTGCATGGGGTTGTTCTGTGTTTCTGTTTTCTCCTCCTTCACATAATAATTCCATTACTGAATGATAAATGAAATTGAGAGAGAGAGAGAGAGAGAGAGAGAGAGAGGAGCGGAAGGGTTATATTGGAGAAACCTTGGAGGGAAGATATATATACACAGGAAAAATGAAAAATATAGAATATTTCAAAGGCGGTCAAGGACCAAGTTTTAATCGAAAAAGGTCAATAACGTCTTGTTTATAATGTAATTTGAACTACCATATTTCCTGAATGGATCAAGTCTTAATCCACTTAATTTATTGATCCAGTCTAATATTTGAATTCACATATTAGAAATTTGATCCTTGAATCATAGTCCAGTCTTTGCTTGTTTTAGGTCAATATTTTATGAAATTAAATGTAATGTTCATTTCAATTGAAATAATGCTAATGTTGCAATGCCAAGAGAATTTTCACAGGCTTTTTACAGGCCTCTCACAGAGAGGTGGGTCCCACCTCATTAAAAAAATATCCAAAAAACATGGGACTCGCATATTTGTGAGAGGCATGTATTCTCCCTGTGAAATTCCCCCCCGACATTGTAGCATTTCTCTTAAAATAATCTTGATAGTCTAGTGAGAAGTCTTTCGATAAATAGATAGAAATATTACCCAAAAAATAGTGCAGGTGACTTAGTGACAAAAGTTGTAAATAGATTAGGTAACTATCTAATGCCATTTTGAGTCGATTAAATCATTCTTGATCTCAAAGTACTCAAACGAGTGAATGAGAAATATAATTTCCTTGCACGTCAAATTTTAGTATCAATAAGAAGGGGTGGTTGGGGGTGGAAGATAATTGAAATTTTTTAACTCATTTATGTCGTGTATATTGTAATTTGAACAACCATAAATTCTTGATGAATGGATCAAGTCCTAACCCACCCAAATAAGAAACTAATTTAAATTTGGTTTAAGTCTGAATGGAATTTAGCTCATGTTGAATATAGGTAAAAATCAAAATTTTTAGTATATTTTGATAAAAATAATGGTATGTGTAGTTGAAAAAAATGGGAGTCTAGTGAAATGTGTGGTTAAATTTAATTGTTGATTTTATTTAGATTTTAATAAAATTAAAAAAAAAATTACCGAAGAGGAGCTTAATATAAATGTATAACGCAGTGCTTAATCTGAATTTGATTATCATCAAATCCTGAATCATAGTATGTGACCGAGGTTATAAACACAATATTAAATAATATTAAACAAAAAAAAAAAGAAAAAGAAAAACCACCTTCGATGAAGATCGTAGTTGAGCTTCTATTGATTAATTTGTAGTTAGTTTTAGGGATGGACAAATCTCCCGAACCCGAACCGAACCGAACCGAGCCCAACGGTTCTTGTCAAATTAAATACCCGAAAGGATATCTGAATTGAGAACCGACGGGTATGGTTCGATTCTCGGTTCTAGACCAAGAACCGAAAAATTGAATAAAAATCGAATCTTTCTAATTTTTTTTTATACTAAGTAAATCAAATTATTTTAATTTTAATTTTTTCTAAACAAATTAACAATTTCTAAATCCAAAATTTTGGCCCAATTACCCATTTTATTGTTTCATTTCTTAGTCAAACAAGATACAATGCACTAAATAACCCTAAACACCTACACTAAAGTGCATAACATTGTCTCGACTCTCGTACTCACTCTCGCAGTATCGCTAGTATTCCAAAACCTATACAATCATCGACCGACACTGTGACCTCAGATCGAAGTTGTGACCTCCGCCGATCGAAATTTTGACCGTAGCGATCATTTGAACAAGGTAGTTTATTAGTCTCTAACATTTCGAAATCATTGAATGTATCATTAGTTGTATTTATATAATGTTGTTATAAATGTTAAAAAATTTAATTATAATACAGAACCGAATGGAACGGAACCGAACCAAACGGTTCCATAATTATATTTGGACCCGACGGTTTCATTTACTAGATACTCGAAAATTTTGTTTCGGTTCGGTTCTTTTTAAAGCCGACCCGCGCCCACCCCTAGTTATTTTGAACTCATCTCAATCAATTAGAGATCACGAAAAGGTACACTGCCGGGGTTCTAATCAAGTAAGAAGAAAAAGATGTGCTCTCTCTCACAATCGATGGAGAAAGGTGAAAAGGACACCTACTCGATCAAAAATTCGACCATAACCGATTGTACATCCTCTAAAAGGAGGTGGTTTGCTAAAGTCGTTGATAGGTGAGTTTAAATATCCGAAGAGTCATCAAAATAGAATCCTCTGACTGTCCAAGATTCTCGTCGCAAAACACGGAAATCCTAGTGAAAAGCTAATTGCAACTTATTATTTTCAGCACGAACTTTTCTAAAAAGTACTTTATAATTTATATATTCATTTTTTTCTGAGAACCTATTAGTTTATTCTTCTGTTGGAGAGAGACTTTAAACGATGGTCCAAGCCCTTTCTTTGTGCAGGAATCAACTGATTAAGCTCCGTTTGAGCCACATTATTGTAAAAATAAAAATAAAAAATATAATCATTATGGGTCCCACATAAAAGATAAAAAGTCATAAATAATGACTTGATGTGATGGATAACGATCATATTTTTCATTTTAATGAGACAATAATGGGACTCAAACAGGGCCTAAATTTTTAATTGTCATTAAGACTAACAAAATAGGCCAACATCCAAGAAAAAAGAACTTTTTAGTATGGATGCGTTTGATTGCAAGTATGAAATTCGCATGGAAAGAAAATAAATTTTAGGTAATTCAATTTTCTAGTACTTATTTGCATGAAAATTGTCAATTAAATGTGTTTGATTGATTTAAGTTTAAACTTAAAAAATATTATATTTGTCATTTTTTATTGCTGAGTAGATAAGAGAGAGTGGATAGATGAGAGAATGAATTCCTTAAAAAATAAAATCCTACCCAACCTCACAAAAATATTTTCTTTGATTTTGAGGAAAATTTGATCACGTAATTAAAAACAGAAAAATGTTTTTCATTGAAAAAAAATGTCAATCAAACAGAATAAAAGTAGAAATTTGGATGGAAAAAACACATATTCCATAGAAAAATTAACAATCAAATGCACATTAATTATACTTAGGGGTGTCAATTTGGGTAGCTTGCTCAAGTAGCCAGTGGCTCGACCCGAAAATAGCTCGAGCCAGCTTGTGACGAGCCAACCCTTAGGGGGAGGGGAAGGAAAAAAATGGGGAAATACATGAAATTGACCCAAATAAGAGAAGGATTTTCCAAAATGACATTTGACTTTTATAAACATTTTGAACTACCTAAAACACCCTTTAACAAATATTAAAAAACAACCCTTTATCTAATAAAAATCTTCTATTTAAGTCCTTAAAAATTAACAAATAATTTTTTTAAAAATTTGAAAGAATTATTAACGAATAATTATAAAATGAAAAAATCCAAATATAAGAGAGAACCACATAATATAAAAAAGGTTGTTAAAAATAAAAAAGAAATTAAGTTTGAAAAAGAAATTGATAAGATAGGATATCAAGAACAATTATATGCATCACAAGAAATATTAAAATGTTTCAAAGAAAACTTATTAGAAAATTTTGTTAAAGGATTTTGAAGAATTACTTAAAAATTTATGAGATTAAAATTTTTGATATTTTTGATTATTAGATTATTAGATTTTTGTTCGCTCATAGTAGCACCCATAGAGTTGGTATCAGAGCCAAGTTGATCATGGAAATCTTAAAAATAAATAATTATTATCAATATATTGAAGAAAAAGGATGTTATATATTTTATAACCCTATCCCTAATAAATTAAAAATAATAACATTATATATAACTAGGAATTTACCTAGAGAAATAAAGGAACAAATATTACATAAATTAATTGTAAGATTTATCAAAGATAGACGTACATATGAAATAATTTGCGAAATATTTGAAAATGATTTGTATCATAGAGAAATATATGAATCAAACTAAAAATATTTTAGATAGAAAGTTAGAAAGAATAAGATTAATAAATAATAAAATTTTAGATGAATTATTAATACCTGGAGAAATGACTAAAACTCAAGAAAAACAGATATTAAAATTAAAACAAGAAAGGTATAAAGAAAAAGCTAGGTATTATGAAAAATTAAAAGAACTAACAAATCCTGAAATTATAAAACAAAAATATGATAAAATGATAAAAGCGTGTAAAAATGCTGAGTGTATAATATTTTATTATTGTCAATCAAAAAATAGATAAAATGTCAATCAGTGAACATATGGAAGAATTAAAACATTTAATAAGAACATTAATTAATGATGTACAAGAAATTAAGAATGAAATAAAAGAAGCTAGAAATGACATAAATATATTAAAACTTAAAGTTAGAAAATTAAAAGAAAATGAAGAAAAGAATAATAGAGTAGATAAAAAATTTATAGAAAAAGAAATAACCAGAATAGGGAAAAAATATATTGAAAGGAAAAATGTAATAATAGAAACAGGAAGCATGGATGATGAGTTTAGAAAAAACATATTACCTAAAATAATAGAAGAAGAGGAATTTAGAGAAAAAATATTAGGTAAACAAAAAATTGAAGAAAATCAAGACAAAGAAGATGAATGAAGAATTAGATCTACTTATTGAAAATTTTGAAAATTTAAGTTTAGAAAGTATAGATGATGAATATCAATCTTAATGAATACTGGAGGAGGACCTAATCCCGTAGGAACCTCTAAACAAGAATCAATAGATCCAGATGAAAGTTATGCTCCGATGTATAATAAACCATATAGACAATTTTAAGATAAAATAAGAGATAAACAATCGTCCAAAGGAAATAAATATAGTAATAGATTTGAATTAAATAATAATTATGATAAACCTGTTAACCATGGAGGAACAAAATTAGACTTAGATTGCAAAATAGATACTAAGAAAGCCTTAATAACTTGGGCAGACTGAATGATATTATTCGTTTTATATAATAAAGATGATACATGAGAAAATACTGAAAGAAGAATAGATTTTTTAATTGCATCTTTTGAAGGAAATGTTAGAAATTGGTGGGAAGGAATTAGTAGTGATACAAAATCATTAATAAAAAGAAATGTACAAACAGAAATAATAAAGTCAGATAA